CCCCCACGCTGCTGTTGTCTTTATTCTGTTTGTCCCCCCTCCCTCGCTTCCATCTCATCCCTTGTCCCTCGTCCTCGTTTTGGCTTTAATTATCGAAGACTCCCTCTCAACAGCCTTTGTTCGCCCATTCACCATCGCTGTGTGTGTCCTATAGCGGCCATCTTACAGCTTTCTCTCCCGCTCTCTAGCCACTGACATGGGGCACGCTCTACGCATGTGCTGCCAATATCATTACACAATGTATACAAAAAAACATTCAAAAGAAATATAATCGTCATCAATTCTGTCATTTTATTTATTTGCGCTATGAAATAAGTGTCTTTTCACTCTCACCATTTGCTGTTTTTAAGGCTGTGTGTGTTCACTCCGTCCTCCAGGTGAAGGCTGGTCTCAGGACGTTGATTCCCATAGAGCAGAAGTATATCGAAGAGGAGCCCAGAGTGTCCAAACAGGTACATCAGCAGCCAACACTGATCTTCTACCTCTCCGCCTTATTTGATCTGTGTCCAACCTATTCTGCCTAACTGTCTGAAGCGAAACCAACACGCCTGCAGAGTGGCATCTTGTAAACCAGAACAACTGTGTGGGCAAGATACAACTGCATGATTGAAGGAAAAACAGCATTTTGTTTCTTTTTTCCCTTCCCTCCTCTCTCCCTTCTCTCATCTCTCCCCCCTTGCATCCACTCTGAGTGGTGAATAGAAATGTCAAGCTGTCAGCTCTGGGGTGCATAAGTAGATTGGCCATCCTTATAGTTGGCCCTCTTTGCCACTGCTGCTTTGCACTTCATTGTCACGCCGCTCAGTGTGGCGGCACCACAAAGGGCTGAATAGTAGGGGCTGGCCCACATCAGACATGTCATATGACTGACCGTTTGGGCTCAGCAGTCAAAGCTGCGCCATGCACAGTCGAGCGCAGCAAACACACGCACCAGCTCCCATACCAGGCTTTTGTCAGCCCTCCATCTATTCCCTTCTTTCCTCACTGTTCCTTCTCTGTTGCCCTCTGTCTCGGCCCACTCCACTCTTTTTCCCCCCAAGTGCAGAATGTTTTTTACATCTGCATTTCACATCTGACTCACTGAGATGACCCATGTCAGCGTCTCGCAATGATGATGTCACTGGCTGCTTTAGAGGGATTGCCCCGTGAGGGCTCTTTTGTGTGGTAGCAGCTCCCCTGCTGTTACTCGCTGCTTAATGTGCAGAAACATACACAGTAAAGAGAAAAAACCCAGAAGCTGGCTGCCAAACTAAACCATATAATCGTAATCATCACATTTGACTTAATAAACGGCTTTACCACTTTTCTAAGTGTTTTAGAGGAATAACTCAAGGCACTTTATGAAATACTTCATGGAAATGAAATAGCCTTATCAAGACAGTTAAGGCAATAATAAGCCCAGAAGAGTACAGCATGTACATCAAGTGCATGCGCTGAGGAACGTGGAAATGGATGATTCACAGTCTTGCTGTCTTCAGGGTCTGTGTGTCCCCAGCTGGACACCATACAGTCATCCTCAGTTTAGCAACAAAAAGACTTCACATAATTACACATAGAGAGGGAGGAATCCTCCTCTCATCTAGCATCAAAGCAGCCAAGCCACCCCTAACCACATGCAAATCCACCCGGAAACACACATGCATATAGACAATAGACTTTACTGTAGTGCTACAAACCCATACTGTATACCCACAATATACACACATTCAAACACACACACACACAAGTTTTTTTTTCTTCTAAATAGTAAAATAATGGCCTAGAATCTTTTGAACAGCGATCTGCAGAGACAGTTTGTCCTTTGGGAGCACTTTCTCCTGGTGGTGACCTGATTGGGTGGTTGGCATTCTGCGCTGCTATACTGCTATTCCCTGAATGGTTGGCAACCCATGGGGAGGACAGCAGTTAGCCAGCTTTCTCTCATACCTGGCCAAAATGAACGGAGAGCCCTCGGGGAAGAGAGTCCAGGGACTGTTGGAAATTATTGTACTTCACTTTATCACTTGGAGAGAAGACTTACAGCAACATTGTGAGTCATCTTGTCACACTTTAAGCGGCCGTTTGTCCTGTATGCTGATCCACATCCATATATAGCTATCCAAAGAAGGAACACATGAAATTGTCCTCTTGGTGTCCTCAGTGCTGCACTGTTAGACAGTAATATTAAAGCCAAAGTGGGGTAAAAGCTGCACATTTAAAAAACTTAATGCTCTACTTAACTTTCCAGATTGAGACACAATGTGGTTTAAAGTGCCCGTATTAAGATTTACGGTCGTTTTAACGAAGACGTACATGGTGTATTAAATGTATAATTGTGACAAATTCACTCAAAACCTTTACAAAAAAGAGGGAAATTAATTCTTAAACATACAGTATGTGATAATGTTTGTATGTGAAGCTTATGTTAAAAGGTCACAACCCTGATGCGATTTAGTTTGTTTACGCAGGAATCTGTCACATAAAGTCTCATTAATATGATCATCATATATGAGACATAATGATATATCATCTACAGCATATAACAGGATCTTCATTTGTTTTAATCATTCACTTTTGTTTTTGTCTCCCTTCTAGCTGCTGTTGCACAACTTCAACAGAGTTCGTCGCTGCATCATGTTCCTGATCAACACAGGCTGCTTCATCAACAGCTGCTTCGAATGGGACTCTCCGCAGAGGAGCATCTGTGCTTTTGTAGTACGTACAGCTGCACTCGCATATACCTGTACAGTACCACACATGAGGACATATTACATTCACATCCAAGCTGAAACAGGACCTAAATCTTATCTTTTTGAATACACTCATTCTATTATCAAAACATATGATAATGCTTTTGTATTAATATGGTACGTAGACAAAATCGGTTGGGTGTACTGTTACCTCACACGTTTTGAAACTAAATCACCATTATCACATTGATGGATCAGTACTATTCTAAATAGACTAACAACATTCATCTATTTTACCGAGTACTCTCATATTGCCAGTTAACATCTGCACACACGCAGCAGGAGAGCAACAGAGGCTGTAGGACCATTTCTGCTAACAAAGTATGGATCCTTCACTGGTAATTGCACACTCTAACACGGGGGGTTGTTGATGTCTCAAGCACAGCTAAGTACATTTCCCCACTACAGACTCTTACTCACATACTCAATTTCTTAATAAGATAGTGGCGATTGAATCCCTTTTCAAGCTTTGTATTAAGTGTAAAAGCACACATGGTTTATACGTGGAAAGTGTCTGTTTTGGTACTCAGTTGCTTGGAATAAGTGGAGAGTTGGTGTTGAAACTTGAACACTATTTTAATTGAGACCCTTAAACATTGAAATACTTGTGTTGGAAATGTTGCTATATTCTATTGAAGTGTGACAAGCTGTTCCTGCAGACAGTGGAAATGGTAGCTTCTTTCTCTCTTCTCCCATCATCCTCCTCTGTCCTCTCTCTCTTGCCCTCCTGTCATCTGTGTCTGGTATTATAAGGTGAAGTGTAATTGGACAGCAGAGCTATCAGTAAAAGACATTCTCCTGCAGGGCGGTGAGTGGTTGAATGGAGGTTCCCTACCCTAAAGATGACAGAGAAGGCATTTAATCCTGTCTGGTTTAGTGTCCTGACTTAAGTAGCTACAGGACAGGTGGACCGGCCCCGCCCCAGCCCTTTACTGTAGGAGCACTAAGTGTCTTCACAGCAGACATTAGACATTAGCAGCATTTGGCTGTCTGACACCAATTTCATCTCTGCAGAGGCTGCATATGTGTGTGTTTGTACAGCAGGTCACAGTGTCATCACAAGACATGGGTCAGAAGAGACTAGTATTGATCAGTTAACATTTTCCCTCTGTGTGTGTGTGTGTGTGCAAGCAGACTCATGTGTGATCCTGGTGTGTGTGTGTGTGTGTGTGTGTGTGTGTGTGTGTGTGTGTGTGTGTGTGTGTGTGTGTGTGTGTGTGTGTGTGTGTGCTCTCATGTAAGGCTGTACTGGGTGTGAGAACCCTTTATCTTTAAGAAAGAAATACAAAATGTCAGAGACATTTATTTTTTGGACGAATTCACAGAAAACAAGGTCAACTCAGTGATGCCAATCTTCGTGGTGAGAGGAGGAAGCAGCCTTGGATAGCCCAGCCTCCATGTCAGCACACACAGACACACACACGCCTTGTATAGCCCTTCACCCTTTTTAGAAAACACAACGCATAGTACATCCCCTTCTGAGTAACAGTGCAGACTATTCATATTCTCATTGTACTCGCTTAAATTCAAAGTATTCAGATGACGATAAAGGGTGTATCTAGGCCAAGGACGTAGCGTTTTATAGTTTATAGAAAGTCTGAAATGTAGGTGTCATTGCTTTTCCTCCCCCCTCTCCCACTCTTTTAGGAGTCTGTTATCGTAGGACTATGCACTTAGCTAAAAGCATCAGAGTATTTAGGGCCTCTCCTCTACACAGGTACTCCCTCCCTCCCTTCCCTTCTATTTCTTCATCCCTCTTTCATTTCTCCCTCACTTTGAGAGGCCTCTTAATCACTTCGCTCATCTCTTTAAGTGGGTTTTTATGGGGGGCCATCTGGCCAAGGTGGTGTGTTCATGAAGGTGTACGGCTGTGTGTGATTATGGGCATGTGTGTCTGTTCACATGTGCACGTGTGTTTCTGTCTGGCTGTCTTTCTAGACAGATGTTACACTTAACTTTCCAACACGGCTGTAGCTACAGAGGTGGAGTTGTTGGCAATTCAACCTCTAAACTTACAAATGTGTGCACTTCTCAACTGCTCAGTGAGCCCGAGGGGAGGAATTTCAGTGTGTTCATATCATTCTGGTATTTTTTGAATGCAATAGTACATCCAAATGCAGTCACTTCACCACATTCCCTCCATAAAAACGCTCAACATTTTTTCTTCATGGTCTCTTGCTCTCCTTCTGCACGATTCCAAAAGTTGCCAGCCGCATGTACACATCGCCCATTAGTGCCAGCTGTGATTAGTGTGTATGTTGTGTGTGTTTTGTGCGCATGTGAGAGAAAGAGAGATATCGCATAGTCTCACATGCAGCCTTTCTCTCTCTCACACCCACACTGCTGTCACCCACCCATCCCGACAGTGAATCAGCCACCGTGGCAGCTTTGCCTGAGGCGTTGGCACAATGGACGGGACTGGAGTTACCTCCTGTCCTGCATGATGGGTGGTGTGTGAGTGTGTGTGCATGTGGGTGTTGGTCTCGGTGTCTCCCTGTCTCAGGGTTAAGCGTCTGCTTCCTCTCTCCACACCTGCAAGCTCAGTGTCTCTTCCTTCGTTCCCTCCATCCCTCCCTGTTCCTCTGTATCTCTCCTTCCCCTCCTCTTCCTTTGCCTTCTCTCCCGGAGAGTTGAGGCCATTGTGGGGCTGAGCGGTGTAGGGTTCTGTTCTCCTGCTGCTGCCAGTTCTCCCCACGGCCCCTGCAAGACAAGGCTGTTATTGCCCCAGGGACCGCAGGCCTCAGCAGCTCTTCCTCCAAACAAATTTGCTGTAACTTTATCTGCAATTGGGCTCTGAATTGGGAGCAAATAGAGGCAGCTTTGTGAAGCTCGGGGAAGGGCGAGGGCAGCGAGCTGGGGGTTGTTGGGGAGGCAGGGGAAATGATACCGGGCTCTTTTATGTCAGGCAAAGTAGGACTCTTATCAGGAAGAGAGCCCAGACAAGGGAGCTACTTCTAGAGGAAACTGGAGCACCTATCACCTGCTTTGCATTTAGATAAAAATTCACCCTGCTGAAATAAAAAAGGGAAAAAAGCAAAGACAGGTACAGAAGCAACTGTTGGAGTGTGTGTGGGTGGGTGGGGGTGTGTGTTTGCACATGTTTAATACACATACACAGTACAGAGACGCCATAGCAGTACACACCACTCCAGGTCTCTTTAAATTGCTCCTTTGACTCCTCTTCAAAGAAGCAGTCTAACTTTTGAAAGTTTTAAAGTCGTGAGTTCGTCTTTGCCCACAGCAAGGGACAGCTTTGAAAGATATACTTTCACATGTTACTGCTCTCCTGATTTGCTAAACGAATGATAGTTGAAATATAGTGCCATGACTAACCAAGAATACCAAACCAGAGTTTAATCACCAGAGATAGACGGAAAATGTGCGAGGCCTTTTGTTGAGACGTCAGGGACTCGGCATCTTTACTTCTCGTAACACTCCGTTTTATAACTGCGGTCATAAAATGGTGGATGCTTTGCTTTATTTTTTGATGTTTTTAGAAAATGACTGGCTTTGACACGTTGGGCTTAGTCATTCAGGCTGCTGTTTTATCAGATGAGCAGCATTAGTTGTGCTGCAGATATATATTCTGCAGGGGTACAGCAGGGGGCAGTCTAGCACCACTGAATGCTGGGGAGGTCCGTTCACTAACAGGACACAGTCCTCCTCCCTCTCCCTCGAACTTAACAGGACTTCTAGTTGTTATCTGGCAACACTTAGTGCCAGCATGGAAATTGATGTAAGAGAGATAAAGGGGAACTCTGAAATCCAAACTTCAGTTTCACTCCACTGAGACAGAGCAGGGGGAAAGTTAGCCTGGTGTGTGGTTAATGTAAGCCAAAGTACTGAATATTACCCTCCCACAGAGCCGCGGCTCAGAGCCGTAAGGACGCGGGTTGTGTTTTGAAACAAATAATGTAAAATACAACTCTCAACGTGCCACACTGAGTGCTTGAATAAATCATTTTGACTTCTCTATTTTGTTAACACGTTTAATATATCTTCTTGTGCTCAGGGGATTTCTTAATATTAAGAGAGGGCATCTAAGATATAACTGTAATGAAATTAGACTACAGAGACTTGTCAAAATAATTTATTTTACTGATTTTATGTATTGGTATTTTAGCCAAAATATTACAAATTATACTGTCATTGTTTTTACTTTGTTCCTGTTTGTGATTGTCTATTTTAATTACACATGTCGTATGCATTTCAGCTGGTGCTTAGATGTGAAGTTTGCCCAGTTCAAGTGTAGCCTTAAACCGTATTTGAAATGGTTTAGCAGATTTGACAGAGGAAAATATTGTTTTACTTTGTTTTATGACAAGTGATTAGTTTTGTTCTTAAAAAATCATTGCCGTATAAAAAACACTTGTTAAAGCAAATGATTTAAAAAGAGTGATTTTTAGGATAAAATGGCTGTTTAAAGGTAAATGCTGCCAGTAGTTTTGGGGACAACATCAAATGTTCACTATAGTAGAAATAACTAACCTGACTCTTGAATGTATATTTGTTACTACTCTGTTCTAATTCAGATAATTACAGATACTATTTCCAACAATGGTTGTATGAGAAGAGAGAAAATGGTTTATATCTCATTATTGTTTCTGTTCTGTTGCACATTTATATACAGGCTCTCAAGACTTAATTAGAGTGTTTGCATATTTTCAATAATATAGAAGCGCATAAACAGAGAAAGACTATCTACTGTGTTTATATGAATGTTTTTACATTAGCACACAGGTAAGAAATCAGCAGTATTTAAAAGGAAAGCCAGAGTTGAGCCTGGTGAGCATCCCTCTCAGTCCGTGTTCAGATATGAACCGGTCACTACATTGTGTGTCTCTGACCACGCAGAGTCATCTACAAATGATTCCCTTTGACTACATCTGGAGCTTCATTTTGCATTCCCCCCCCCCCCCCCCTCCTCTTTCCCCTTCGATCCAGCATGTTTTTATCATTGTTTTTTCCCCCACCGTCTTCCTCTGGTCACTGACATCCACAGCAGGCTCCTTCCCACTCCTTCTTCCCCAGGCGCAGAGCTTGCTATCTGGTGTAGCACGCAATGGGGGGTGTTTGTGATCGCCAGGTCCTGGTGGAAAGGTCCAGGCACTGCAGGGCCCCTCTCTTACCCCGCCGGGGGGCTCGGAGACGGGGCAGGGCCGGCCACTGGGTGTCCGGTTGCTCTAGCTGCCTGTCAAAACTTCACCCTCAGCCACTAAAACCAAATGGAGAAGGAATGAAGGGGGACGGCAGGTTAAACAACCTCAGGCAAATGGAGAAGAAAGCAAGATCCATTTTTCTTTTAAACATAAAACCGGGTTTTAAGGTTTCATTTAAACATCAGGACAGCGTGGAGCACATTCATTCGCCTGTTGTGTGATAACGATACCATAAGCGATTAGAGAACAAGACACTAAATATATTTACTTTACAATATGCCTACTGTAAGTGTTATTTATAGCAGAGCGTTTGAAAAGAACATTGTATCTGCATGAAGATTTGTGTAAGGTATTTATATCTTCTAAGAGAATACGTTTAAGACAAGTGAGCTCCTTTGTTTGTTTGAACACATATTTCTGCACCTCTATTGCGGATTGTATTAAAAACTGATTATTACATGTTTATCAGTGTTTTGAGTTTGTAAACTGTAATACTTTGCAGGAAGATGGATCATTTTAGAATGGTTATATTTTGTAGAGAACATTTTTTTTCAAGCATGTGATATGTTTGTTTGTATGCAAGTTTATTTTGCTGAGCTTACACGGTCCTTGCCTCTTTTCTGATGTATGAAGGGAAATGGTTGTGTTGCTTATTAGTATACAAATATGAATTATTGAATAGTTTATTTCCAATTCTCCTACACAGCTGTATCAGAGAAAGGCTCTTTGTATTTGAGAAAGTGAAGTTGAGCCTGAGAGACGGGGAAAGATTTCGATCCTTTTGGGAGATATTGTTGCTGCACCAAGGCCATTCAGGTTTATTTGAAAATACATTTTGCTGTGAGCATTATGTAAATGTACTGGACATTTCTAATGTTTAATTTATGTATTTTTTTTGCTTTGTATACTACGCCTCTGTTAGTGAATTTTACATAAAGATAGTTGTATTAAAAAGTTTGGATATGAGCCTGACCAACTTTTTTTTATACATGAGAAGGGAAAAAGTTAAGAAAATGTTATTGTTTAATTATGTAAAGAGTTGTTTGCATTGATATTCAGATACATATGTTTGTGTGTGGGTGTGTGTGTGAGAAAGTAAAATGCAACATCGACGGCACAGTGTGTGTGTGATAGTGCGTGTGTGTGCGGTTTAGTGTCCGACTGGCTCCACTACAGTAATAGCAGAGCTGCACACACACTCTTGAGGGGCTGTTGAACCTCATATCCACACTCACCTTAGACTGTAAACACAATGAAGAGCTTGTTTTTCATTTCCCCCCCTCTCTCCCTCTTCATCCTCTTAACACACGGAAATAAAACAATTTGATTGTTAATGATGTTGTCCAGCCAAACAGATCATAATTGGTACACAGACACATAACTGCTTCATATTGTAATGGTATTAATTACACTTCTCTTTAAAGTTTCCCATCAAAACTGCCTGTTAAACATGGATGCATTATTATACCGACGATATTTCATGTTAAATCTTCCTTGCTCATATTTAAAATAATACAATTCTTTCACTTGAATTTAATAAACCGTATCAGGCATGGTTTGCATTTTTAGCATTTGTTATAATTGTTGCTGTAGTCTTATTAATTATGAAATATATGTGTATACTTTTACATACAAATATTAGAAAATACAAATGATTTGTTCTTTTTGTTTCTTAAAGATAGTATTCCCACACATTATCCTATTTGAGCTAAACTCTAACATTTCCCCAAATCTTTTCTCACAATTGACACAATGCCGTGATAAGATGACAAGCTTCCATCATTAGCAATATTATTTTCCCACATATATCTTCTCACAAGCCCCATAATAATCTCTTGTCATCGGCTAAAGAGCCCTGCCAAATCCAGAGGGTTTTAGGAGAGGTTAATTTTCAGATGGTACTTTTCTTGTTTGGTGATGAGAGGGGAGGTATAGAGGTTATGGTTTTGGCAGATGGGTGCAGAGGAGGTTAGAGATGGGGCATCAGAGCCTTTTGGGGAAGGAGAGAGGGTATTGGGGCTTGGAGTGACAGGGTTAGGGACTCGGGGTGCGGGGTGTGTGAGGTCAGATGCTGGGGTTTGGGGCTGAGTATGGAAGGGTCAGCTTTGACGTGCTGCTGCTGAAAACGGTACATGACCTCAGCCTCTGGGATGATTGGCATGGAGGGAAGAGACTCTGACGGCTCGTACTCATCCTCTTCATCGCCCTCCTCCTCAGCTGAAGGCCCAGAAAGCCTTGAGGGTCAGAGTGTTGAACCTAGGCTCACCGACACCAGGCCTGCACCTTTGTTGAAACACAGTCTTATTTTTTGCGCTTTGTTCCATGGCGGTTATGATTCTGCATATGAATGTGTTTGAATGCGTTTCCAATCGCACATATGGTGAGCGTACGTTCTCAGGAGTTTGCCTCACCAGGGTCAACATGGGGTCTTGAATGCATACATTCTCAGCCCACACTGTTCTCACTTTTTTGTTCTCACTTTTCTTTGGCTGATGGTTTTGTCTTTTTCTCTCTCCTCAGCTTTTTGTCATCGTTGTGTGGAACTTTGAACTCTATATGATTCCTCTGGCATTGCTACTGCCTCTGGTCTGGAACTACATCCTCATCGCGTCAGGGAAGGATACCAGGCAAGACATGGTGAGTGACCCCGTACCTTTTGATATCCCTCCGCCTTTCTTCTCTCTCGCTGTAAAAGCCTCCAAACACAATGCATGGTAATACTCGGACACCAAATTAATATTATTTACAGCATTTTTTATATTTACAGGCAAGTCAGCCTTTTGATAAGATATAATATATATAAAATCCATATTTGTGCTATAAAAGGTGTGATGATGATGTGATGAGACATGCAGATGATTGGAAAATCATCATACCTTTTTTAAAAACAAACTCATTTGAAATATACTTTTGATTAAATTGCACAAACATTGAGCCAAATTGGAATTTAATTTTAAAATACCTCTCTGGTGGATTTAAAAAAAATTAAAATCTGCCCCCTTGAGGAGCTGCATTCACATTCGGATCTCACATTTCTCACTTTGCCTTCTTTGAGGCAAAGAAAAGGGAGAAATAATAGGCTGTCACCTTGAGCTACGTTACGCTACTTACCTGGTAGTATATTTATTTAATTCATTTATTTTTATCTCTTATACCAATTAAATGATGTCAAAGCAATGTCATGGAGAAACAGACATGTTTTAATCATGGCCCGGCACATTTGGAGAGAAGAGAGTGAGAACGAGAGAGAGAGCTGGACTATGGAGTGAGCGTGAACAATGAAGTGATTAATTTTAATAAGTGCCTTTTTCCAAGTCTCCGTTGGAAATAACCAGTTAACAGACCTCAGATTTTCTTGCAGTCTCTTGCCTTCTCTATGTGTATATTTATCTCTTCATAAGGATTCTTTGGGTTTGATTGGATTTGGAAAAGATAATAAATTCAGTCATTATAATGAACCAAATCTCATTGCAATGTGTCATTTGTAATGTTACACATACAAATGGAATTAGATGCAAACTGTGTATAAATTGCCAAAAGATTTATTTGGTAAGTCTCCAGAACTAAGCATCTCTATTTATAAGCCTCTATTTTCACATGTGGAAAATGTAAAGCGATGAAAATGAAATCAGAAAAGACAATCCCTATGTGACGGATATAAGTCTGTTACTTGACAATTACGTGGCAATTATACCGTAATAGGTGGTACGTCATGAAAATAAGAGCATTTAAACTGGATAAAGTCAGTCAAGAATTAAAGGCTTGTTAATGAAGGTAGTTTCACAGTCAAAATAAATCATTTTTTAATTTGTGAATGACTGAGACTTGACTTCCTCAGGATATACTTTCCGCCTGTAGATGGCAACATTGCTTGACAAAAAAAATCCCACATGCCTTAAGACGAAACCCGATCATTTGTGCCCCCACCTGCTGCTTATATTTATCCAGACCTAATGATATTCTTTTCCAATGCACTTCCTAATTAAAATGAGGCAACAAAGGTTACATATTCTCTTAATGTGCCACTCACTTCAAGTAAGAGTATGTGCATGTAACTCCCACTTCATGCAGAATTGCTTTTCTCTCCTCCTTGAAAGGGACTATTGTGTGTAAAGTACCTCAGGAATTGGTTGGAACATTGAGACATGTTGATATTGTTGATACTCGTATGGCAAGTGCCGTTTTAGAAAGACAATATTGCTCTGGTGAGTTCTACAAAGTTGACATATACTCAGAGACAAGAGTGAATAGGATATTTAAGTTTCACTCTTTTTAAATCGTAGATGGTCTAAGTAGCATCACGCCGCTTTAATGACTGATTTTGACCCATGTTTCTATGATCTGGAGCAGTGGGATTTAAAACCTAATACACTGTTTACCAGTTGTACTTTTATTGAATGTCTTGTACAGTAGCTTGTGTTGTTGCTAATCTTTTATATATATTTGATTAATTACACATCATACTCCAACACTTTTTTACTTTTAAATTGTTGCTTCAATATCATCATCCTCATTGAGTGGTTTAGGAGTGTTTGGTTGATTTCAAAAGGCTTATCTGTTTGGGACACTGGGCTGAATAGATCACCAAGGCCAGGCAATTTCTTTTTGTTAAGCCACAAGAGCACTCCTGGAAAGTTTCATATCCAACCTTCTTTCAGTTAAATGTCTCCTTTCTCTATTATGATCACAATTGTTTACTTTACGTGTACAGCTTAATATGTGTGGACAAGAGGTTCAGTGCTGCTAGTAGAGGGTGTTAAGAGAAGTTGGTTCAAGTTGTTGGCGACATTGTCAGAGGAAAATACTAATTTCAAGAGGAAAGGATACCAGTGTAAATGTAGTATAGGGGAATGTGAATGTGTGTTGTAAGAGTCCTGCTATCTTTCAGAGTCTGGTTTGTTAATTTATTCCAAGGATATGATTCAGGCATGACCACAAGTATAGAAATACAGCTGTGAGTCACTCTAGGTGTGTGGGGGGGAAAACAGCGTGCATAGATGGGGATAAGTTATCTGTGTGTGACTGATTGAAGAAAATGTACGTATACTTCCATAAAATGTGTGTATGAATCCACGAGTGTGTGCAGACATCCTTTCGCAGCAATATATCCGGTGAAAGTGGGATTAATTGTCAAAGATTAGCACCATTAATGCTCCTTTCCTTGCCGCTGTGACAGTTGTGCAGAGCAGCACAGGCAACACAAAGAAGATTCTCTGACAATCATCATCTCTTGTCTTGGCATTGCAATCTCACTGCCTCAGGATTGGTGAATGCAATCGCTCCATTATCAGCTCTCTGCATCTTTTAGGTGTGATATTTGTATTATAAGTTAAATTAGAACATGCACAGCTAATGTTGCGTTGTGTAAGTACTCATTATTTTTTAGTCATTTGTGTTTGCAAACGCTTCACACACATAAGCACACACATTTGTAACACACACATTCAGGTGCATGTCTCCCCCGAGTCCTGTCCCTGTTTGTTTTCAGACAGAGTTTCCCAATCTGCGGTGGTGCAGGGGGAAGTGAGTAAAGCGAGAGCATACAGTATCTGCGTGCTTCGTTTCCTCTCCCGGTCCCCTGGATTCCTCTTCCGAGTCTTTATCAAGCTGAAGTCATGGACGACTCACAATTTCCCCCCTCGCACTTGGCAGGGAACAGAGAAGAATAGAAAAGAAAACAAGGGAAAAAGGCTTTCTAATTACTTTAAACAACACACCAAATTAAAGCATTGTGCTGAGCCGAGCAAGGGTCAGCATCCGGAGCGCTGCGGTTTTCCAGCAGTCTGGGGTGAGGGTAATGCCAAAGGAATCTTTGTTGAACTCACTCTGAAGGGTGAGATAGAGAGAGGGATAGGGTGGGGGAAGAAAGAGAGAGAGAGAACAAATGAGAGTATACGCTTGAGTACAGACTTCCTAATGAACTGAAGGGCCTTGCTCCATCTGATGGGTTCAATGTGAGGACCCTTCTCTGATTCTACACCGCAACCACAGTCCATAGCCCTGTCTATAGCAAATAAACAAACACAGTGTTCCTTCCGCGCTGTAATTCACCGCTCAGGGTCACTAAATGTTGTGTGGTTACATGCTGCTTTGCAAACAGATCTCGGATCAGAAATCCTTACCCTCGCCCCAACCTTGACCAGTACCTGCTAAGCAGTCGGAGCGTCCTCAGAACAGCGATTAAAGGTGACGTACCAGAAAGGTCTATGACCTCCTCTCTTATCGTGTAGCACTCTGACCCCTGAACCCTGACTCTTCAACACTGTAAGCTGCCCTGTGTGCCGTGCTGTAACATGCTCAGTGAAGCAAACAAACAAAGAAGATAACCTTTGCTCCTTTTCAATATATGTGGAGTATGATACTGCTTTGACATGGCTAAGAATGTACCTTATCCAAGGTCCAACATGTGCCTCTGCATACAGTAACTATTGAGTCCACTATTTTTACGAGTTGGAGAAGCACTTAAATTACATGACCCCCTCCTTTCAATATCTATCTTGTTTTGAAACCTTGAGCAATGTGTGCGTTAGATCCATCTCAAGCCTGTAGCAAAGGAAGCAGCCAGTGGGCCGGGCTCGGTCAAACAGAGGACAGGTGGCTCTCTCTGCTGGAAGAGAAAACGTCTGCAAGGCTCGTAGCCGTGTGGTGTGCCGTGTGGTGTGTTCATGTGTGTGCCTGCTTGCATGAGTGTATATAATAATATATATAATGCGCGTTGAGATTAAGAAGCAAGAGATGCATCCCAGTAGAAATTCATCTTTGCTGTTCTGTTGGCCCAAAAAGGCCCTTACCAGATGTTAGGAAGGTGTTCATGTTGGCACAGGCTGTCATAGAGGGCACATACAGAACATGGTGATGTCTCTTTTTTCCACAGGATGATGGGCAATTAGGCCTTGTCACACTGGAGGACCATCATCTTTATACCATGCTTCAGACCATTACATAGATTCACCAAATCATTACACAGAGGAAGACCTAATGGCCTAAAGATACTTCACACTCACCGAAACGTTCAACCCGCCCTACATATGTAGTTAATAGCATTGCCATAAACACAAATAGAATTTTTTTAGACATAAAATAATTCACTAGGGTTTTTTTTTCAAGCCAATGTTGTTCTACTTATTTTGGTTTATTCTTTATGTTCCTGACTGTGAAGCCCTCTGTGAGACAGCCGAATATTGTTCATTAGAGTAAAAATAATCTGTGTTATTTCCAAACTGTAATTACGTCTGATTTTATTGGAACATCGTCTCATTTCTACAACAAGTCTTCATTGCCATTTTCATCTATTCTATTTTCTCCCTCATTTTGCATCTAAAAAAAAAAAACCTGTCTCTGCATCTCTAAACACACTGTGCCTTGACATCTGCCCTCATTAAGAGCCACGCACAACACACGAGTAAAGATGGGGAAAGCTAGAAGCAAAAAAGGAAATGTTGCCTATTATACCTCAACTCTTCCAGAAAGTCACACCTCCACTTTTTCCCAATAAAACTGCAACTCTGGAAAGAAAAAGACGAAGGAGATGGAGTGGGAGCAGGAGACAGAAAAAGACAGAGGTATTCAGAGAGATGGAGCGACAGAGAGACGGAGGGAGAGGGAAACGGCAGGCACTCCTCAGTGCAGAGTCAGAC